TGTCTTTTGTCTTTTTTCCGTGTCCAGCAACGGATCGCAGCCCTCAGTGTTGCCCCCGTACCGGACCGGGGACCGGCAACGGGATCGCAAGCCTCGGTGTTGCTTCCCGCGCCTCGCTCAGCCAGTGAGCGGGAGCCGGTCTGTATGTGGGATCCGAACCCTCGAACGGGAGCGCCGCCGCGCTTCCCAAGCGGCGCACTACCCAGTGCGCCACCGGGCCGGCCCCATGTACCAACATCTTTAAAGGGCACATGTACGCTTCAAAAGGTTAGTGGTGAAACATCCAACACATTTTGGAGAAACAGGGTGGTGTAGATGCCCCACATACTGTCGTCCCTTGGTATCTCTGGGGGGATTGATTCAAGACAATCCCACCTCACCCCCTGCAAATACCAAAATCCAAGGATGTTCAAGTCCCTGATATACAATGCCATAGTATTTTCATATAACCTATGCACATCCTCCTGTGTACTTTAAATCATCTCTAGATTACTCATAATACCTTATGCAGTGTAAATGCTATGGAAAGAATTGGTATACTGTATTGTTTAGGAAATAGTGACAGGAAAAAAGTTTGCACGTGTTCAGTACAATTTTTTTTAAAGAATATGTTCGATTCGCTGTTGGTTAAATTCATAGATGCAGAACCCACGGATACCAACAGCTGTTCATATATGCTGGGATTTTCTTCTGCTTCTCCCTAACACACATCGTCCTTCTTGGATCTTAGAACTTCTCTGGCTCTAGAAACTGGGGCTCCCAAGAAATCACTAGCCAGACATTATATTATCTGAAATATAGGTAGATTACATTTACAATTTTTGGTTGTGACAATCTCTGTTTTGGTTCCATTGTGGTGTTTCAATTTCACCTCCAAACTCAGAAAGCTCTGCTTCTTATCAGCTTTGGTTTGAAGATGGCAATAAGTTAAAGCAAGTCTACTATATTTCAAAGAAAAAGTTTCAAACTATTAAATTTAACTAACGAGTTCAGTGGGAACTTTACAATGTTGACCCTGCACATTGTAATATATGTACTGCTTACAATAAAGAAAAAAGATGGTTTAGCACTTGTTTACAATACAGCATGAGGTATTTTCAGCCCTTGTATAGAAATTAACCAGGATCGTTAGTTAATTAACACCTCACCTTAAAATTGGTCTCGCCTTGCATATTAGGTGCTGATATTTCTTGATGGATGATGAAGAGATTGCGAGCAAAGGTCATGAGGACCCCCTGGAGATCCTCACCGATTGTTCTGTTAATGATATCCAAACAAATGAGTTTACCAACGATTCCCCTCACATGCTTAAAAACAATCACCTTCTCATTTGTGCCTGTCTGGTGATGGAATTTAATGAGTATTTTCAATCTCACAAGGTGGCAATCTTCAGGGAGATATGAAAGATGAGGCTGCATTTTAACTTGTCAACAAAAAGGATTTGAGTAATAAATATTTTTTATTAATCAACTTAACAGAATATAGCAAATAGGTTCAGTCATTTCTAGAAAAAGGCTACCATTAAGCTAGGACAGTAGTATGAGCTCATTTGAAAAACTGTTTAAGTTAGTTTAAGAAAATCATTGCTAAGTACAATTCATGCCTAACAATTTCCTTGTCTACAGAGACATTTGCATATCAGTATTCTGGGGGCTTTTGTCCGGGATTTATTTTCTTTTTCATGTGTTCAAGTGATTCTTCTACTTATGAGAGTGCCCCATCCATTTTCAGGGGAGAATGTGCCCCATTCATGTACAGCTGTCTTTACAAAGCCGAACACCCAATTTATGATTTCAGAGACTTGCAAACTGTACTGTAGCATATACTGTGGTCAGTGAACATCCCCAAACAACTAAATTGTTGTAAGTTTTAACTTGGAAATAAAACTCTAAGGTATTTTTCTGGCTATTTTTTGAATTTTATTTATCAAAGGAAAAAAATAGACTAAGTGAATGGATTAATTTTTAAAAAATTTCTCTGTCCTGAGGGGATGAACATAAAAAGCTACCCCCAAGTCAGCTGCAAAAAC